ATTTGGTGAGTACCGGTGAAAGGGTTCATTTTTTATAAAATTTTGTATTTTATGAAAAATGTCTTTATACGCTGTAATTTTCAAAAAATTTGAGATATTGTATTAAATTTTTTTACATGAATAGAGTGTTATTAAAGGATGTTTGATATTGAATTTAGTGAGGATCGGTGAAAGAATTCATTTTTTATAAAATTTTAAATTTCTTGAGAAATGTCTGTACACGCTGTAACTTTCGGAATATTTGAGATATCGGATTAAATTTTTTTACATGAATAGATTATTATTAAAGGATGGTTGGTATTGAATTTGGTGAGTATCGGTGAAAAGGTTCATATTTTATAAAATTTTGGATTTTTTGAGAAATGTCTGTACACGCTGTAGGTTTTAGAAAATTTGAGATATCTCACAAAGCTTCCTCTATGAGGAAGCAAAAATTGAAAAATCCGCATGCTTAAAGCAGCTTAAGTTTTGTAAGATAAAATGATGAGAAAGCAATGTGCAAGTTTTTTTTTCCGAGACCATATTTTAACTGATAAATAAATACCGCTCCTATTCTTGCATTATGCCTATGAAATATAGAACAATTATTTAACCATTTGCTTTTATTTCAGTTATTAATCAATTTCATTAATTACTTATTGTTCTAGTTCTATATGGTTATTTAGTAATATTAATCGATTGCGCAAGAAATTAAAGATGCTTTGGACTGATCAATCAGAAGGCTTTATTTAGAACTAGGTAATTGCGCAGTAGTAACTTGCTAGAACTGACCGGCGGTTACCTTAAGAACAAGCTTGCGAGCAAACTTTAACATAATTAGCGATATAAATATGTAACTTTAAAATTTTAAATAATTGTACAGATGATTATATAATAAGTATTTTTCCGCAAACAATATAGTCAAAATAAATAAAATAAGTGAATATGAGCACCACTCTTTATGGAATCGTAAAATGCGCGCAATAATAATTTGTTAAAAGCATTTTTCTTTCTTACATCTTTTGTGAATAATTATAAAACTTTCATTATTATCTAAATTTTATTTGTAAAATAAAGAATAATAATTTGATAACTTTATGATAACTAATCAAAACACAAATTATTATAAAACGTTTCTATCGTTATTTAGCATCGAAATATGGCCTCGATCGGCATTTTTCTCATATCTTAGATCTTTTCTTTGAATAAAAATTTAAATTTTAATTAATAATTCTAATTCAAATTTTTATAAATAATTGATATTTTTCCCTTATTAGTTCCGTACGTTACGTCATTTCCCTAGACTCCATTAGTTTGGTCCTAACTTTCGGCGTCTCTGGGGTTTAGCGTATAGCTGGTGGAAGCAGATTGTTCTAAAAAAAAAAGAGAGAGAGCTATTTTTTTCTCACTAACTGAGGTATAGTAAGTGCCGGTCTACAATAGGCGATTTAAGCCCTAAACTTTATGACTTAACCTCTAAACTATGACGTATTTTCGGCCTTAAACATTTCTCGCGCTGCCTTAAGCCCTAATCTCTAAGCCCTAAGCGAGTTGGCCAACTCCCATCTTTTAAAGCTTAGAGCTTGAGGCTAGGATCGATGTAATTTTTCTCTTAAAACAAAGGCTAAATCTTAAATCACCTATTGTACACCGGCACTGAAAGCCATTGCACGTTCAAAAATTTTTGTCGTAACCGTAGGACCGTAACAAAATCAACCAATCACAGTTCAAACATTCTTATTATTTTTTAGAATGCTTGATTGTGATTAGTCGATTTTCTTACGGCCTTATGCCCGTATCAGACTACGCATTGAAAATTGAAGATTGAAGATTAAAGATTGAAATTTGACTAATCAGAACAAAAGGGACTCAAATTTCTTTGTCCTGATTGGTCAAATTTCAATCTTCGATCTTCAATCTCAATCTTTAATGCGTAGTCTGATACGGGCTTTACTCTTCTTTCATGAGCGAAACCAATCGCGAGCGTAAGGAAGAATTCACACTTTGGCAGAAAAGCAGAAGCCAATCAGTACTCGTGCTAGAAAAGCAGAAGCCAATCAGAACTCGCGCTGATAGTAACCAGTACATTCTGCTTTTCTAGCGCGAATTCTGATTAAGCTCTGCTTTTCTGTTTTTTGCTTTTCTGCCGAGGTGTGAATTCTCCCTAACAAAAACTGCAGAACGTTTGTGATTGGCTTTGCTCTCGTTCTGCGTTATGCCCGTATCAGACTACGCATTAAAGATTTTGATTCAAAATTCAAGATTGAAATTTAACCAATCAGGACAAAGAAATTTTAGTCCCTTTTGTTCTGATTAGTCAAATTCCAATCTTTAATCTTCAATTTTCAATCTTTAATGCGTAATCTGATACGGTCTTTAAAATCCGTATCAGACTACGCATTGAAGATTGAAGATTAAAGATTGGAATTTGACTAATCAGAACAAAAGGAACTAAAATTTCTTTGTCCTGATTGGTCAAATTTCAATCTTGAATTTTGAATCTCAATCTTTAATGCGTAGTCTGATACGGGCTTTACTCTTCTTTCATGAGCGAAACCAATCGCGAGCGTAAGGAAGAATTCACACTTTGGCAGAAAAGCAGAAGCCAATCAGTACTCGTGCTAGAAAAGCAGAAGCCAATCAGAACTCGCGCTGATAGTAAGCAGTATATTCTTCTTTTCTAGCGCGAATTCTGATTGAGCTCTGCTTTTCTGTTTTCTGCTTTTCTGCCAAGGTGTGAATTCTCTCTAACAAAAACTGCAGAACGTTTGTAATTGGCTTTGCTCTCGTTCTGCGTTATGCCCGTATCAGACTACGCATTAAAGATTGAGATTCAAAATTCAAGATTGAAATTTGACCAATCAGAATAAAGAAATTTTAGGCCTTTTTCTTCTGATTAGTTATAGCGTTTTCGGACAAACGGATTAACTCAACCCGGTTCAATTAATCACTATATTTTACTATGAATTCAAGCCTTCAAGCCGTCAAATTTCAATCTTGAATCTTGAATCTTAATCTTCAATGCGTAGTCTGATACCGGCATAACGCGACGCATGACGCGCGCGTGACGCGCTCAGTGGGAACTTCCCCTAAGAAAAGAGCGTC